ACCCCAGGAGCAAGGGGACCCCAGGAGCAAGGGGACCCCAGGAGCAATGCTCCATCACAGAACAACAGGAGCTCCCTTCCCACTACACAGCTGCAACGATGCTGGAGGGCATCAGAGGCTGGGTCAAAATCCCCCCAGGGCCACGGTGCCATAGGACACTGCCTGTGCACAAAGACCCACAGGTGTCGCCTGAGCCAGGGGATCCAGCACCAGGCCCACAGCCAAAGGAGACCGCGGCCCATCCCAAGCTCGACCCCCCACCCCCGGGCCCTCCACGCGCGGGGCCGGGGGTACCTTGATGCGCTCCCGGCACTGCGAGGGGGTGCGCTCGTAGCCCAGCTCGGCCAACGCTCGGGAGACCCGCTCGTACATGGCGGGCCCGGGGGCCTTGCTGCCGAACACGGTGCCGGCGCCCTCCAGCTGCTGGTAGCGGGCCTCCACCAGCCGCTCGTTGCCCCACACGGCGATCAGCGCGTTGGTCTCCGCCGGGGTCCAGGACATCCCCCGGCACGCTGCGGCCGCGGCGGCGGCGGCGGCTCCGCCCGGGGAGAACGAGACGGAGGGAGAGGCTCCGCCGCGGCCCCCCGCCGCCCCGCCGCCCCCCAGCCCGGCCCCGCCGGTTGCCGGCCCCGGGCCCAGCGGGGAGGCGCCGCTGGGGGTGGACGGGTCGGAGAGGCTGGGGTTGCCGTCGCTCAGCGCACCCGGCGAGCCAGGCGACAGCACCTCCATCTTGGGGATCTTGAGGGGCGGCTCGGCGGCGGGGAGCTGCGAGGAGCCGCAGGACGCCGCCATATTGGAGCTGCCGGACCGAGCAGGCGGAAGTGACGCGCCGTTCGCCGCGGGTGGGACTTCCGGTAGTGGCGAGAAGAGCGGGATGGGGCGCGGGACGAGCGGGGGCGTGGTCGGAGGTGGGCGTGGTCAACGGGAGGCGCGGGGCGTGGCCGTCGGAGGCGTGGCCTTGGCTGGCGGGGCGGGGCTTTCTCGATTGTGGGCGTGGTCGTGTTTCGTGGGCGTGGTTAATTTGCTGCTATCCCCACGGGGGCGGTGCTTGAGGTGGGGGTGTCCTGAGGGGCGGGTCAGCACTGGGGCGCCGGGTAGCTGTGGGTCTCCCCACAGGGGTGGGACCGCAGAATCGCCTTGTAAAAAAGGCAGACGGCCCTTGTCTGCCTTTGTGCGCATGAGCTGAATGTCCCCCTAGCATCGGGGCTGAGCATCCCCCAAAGTCTGGGGCTGAGCATCTAACTCAGCATCGAGTCCAAGGAACCCCGAGACTCAGGACTGAGAATCCCCCAAAATCCGGACTGAGCACATCCCCAGCCACTGAGCATTCCTCCAAATTTGGGGCTGAGCATACCCCAGCATCAGGACTGAGCACTCTCAAACATCGACACCGAACGCCCTCGTAAGAGCAGGACTGAGTGTCCCTCAGCACAGGGGCTGAGCACCTCCAAACAGCAGAGCTGAGCATCCCCCAGACACAGACTGAGCACTCCCAGTGTAAGGACCAGTGTAAGGACCGTCAATAGAAGGACCAAGCACCCTCCAATAAAAGGACCAGTGTAAGAACCCCCAGCCTAAGGACAGAGCACAGCACAAAGGCTGCCCCGTGTGTGCCACAGCTGTCCCCCCACCACGATCCCAATTAAATGGGCTTTGAGCAGAGGGGCACCACGGGCTGTGATTGATGAGCGCGGGGCAGTAACGAAGGGGAGCAGGGACCCCCTCGAGCCGCTGCTGGGGACCGGTGGGGGTCCCTAAGGGTGAGCGCTGCTCATCCCATCCCTCCCCCCCCCGTGCAGCAAAATGCGTTAATTAGCGCCGTGTTGGTTAAACAAACCCGTGCGTGGCACCGGGCGAGACGAGGGGGGCTGCAGCACATCTGGCGGGGAGCGGCCCGGGAGCAATCAGAGCCGTAATTATCCCATTCTAATTACTGGGATTACCGCGGCTGCGACGTTACACATTTCATGAGCTGCAGGCGCTGGAATATATTAACCGCCCCCGGGCGGGGGGTGGGGGGGGGGAGTGCAAAGCTGTGGGTTCTTTGTGAGTGGCCGGGGGAGCGGGGCTGTGGGGGTATCCTGGGTGTCCCCATCGGGGTGCACCTCCTACCAACACCAGGACATGTCCCCAGAAGGGTGCGCCCACTGCCAGTCCTGTGACACATCCCCAGCGAGGTGCACCCACTGTCACCGTGTCCCCAGAAGGAATGCACTCACTGCTGGTGTGTCCTCAAAGCGGTGCGCACGCTGTCAGCCCTGTGACACTCATCGTCACTGCACCCATTGCCAGTTACTGTGACGCATCCCCAGAGGGTTGCATCCCCTGTCACTGCGTCCCAAAGGGGTGTACCTGCTGCCGAGCCCACGACTCGTCCACAGAGGTGTTCAGCCATTGTCAGCCCACTTGCCGGTAGGTTCCCTAAGTGATGCACCCACTGAAACCTTACTAGCATGTCTCACTGCCAGCCTTGCTGTGTGTCCCCAGAGCCATGTCCCTAGGCCTTGCAATCCCTACCAATGTGCCCCAGAGTTGGTTCCCTAAAGGGATGCCTCCACTGCTGCTGTGTCCCCAAAAAGCTGCTGCACCCATCACCGCTCCTGCAGGTTTGTTCCCAAAATGTACCCAGGGCTGGATGCCCCAAGAGGCTCAGCTGCACATCCTCCATGCTGGGTGTCCCCAAGGCCAAAGGTGTCCCCAGCACTGTCCCTTCTCCCTGCAGAGCCGCAGAGCTCATCAGAACGCAATTAGAGCACCACTCCACAATGCAGGGGATCGGGCGGAGGGAAGGAATGCAAATGAGGTTAACGGTTAATTACATATTGAAAAATTCATTATTCCTCCAGAGCAGCTGATTGCAATGCAACCCCGCATCCCCATTAGACTTATTTGACCATTTGCAAATGAGACCCGACCCCAGGCTCGCCCCCTCCTCTCCCTGTCAAAAGACATTCCTGCAGCAAGTTGTGCCCACCCTCAGATCTCTGCTTTCCTCCCAGATATGCTGGTACAGGTGAAACTGGGGCATCCTCCGTGTTAAAGGCATGTGTAAGTGAGACACTGCATCCCCAAAGAGTGTCTCAGAGTGTGTTAATTGGCATCGGTTCCCTCTCCCCACTGAATCAAAGATTGCTTACTCAGAGGCCTCCATCTTCTCATCATTCCCTTTGCATTGGAAGCTCTGTTAAATAAGGAGAAGCAGGAAAATACCAAAAAACTCAGCCCTGTGCCACCTTCTGCTGAGCGGCAGTGAGATGTGAACTGAGCCTGGCACTGCCATTTGTGTCACACCGAGTCGGCCACCACTGCCGCTGGCACGCGATGGTGGGGATTAATTGCGATTCATTTAATTAAGTATGGATGCAGGGTTTGAAATGCCACTGCAAAGGCGTCCTCACCGTGTGGCACTGCTGTCAGCAGAGACCAAATGACACCAATGACAGCAAAACGGGCCGTTGGTCTGTCGAACAGGGGGAAGAGTCTCGTGTGGGGCTCCCGGGGGTGCCTCTGTCTGCGTGCTGGTGCAGATGGTCACATCTGCCACGAGTGGTGCCCATCCTCCCTGGGGACGCGCAGATCGGGGCAGCCCTGCTCATGCCTGCCTTCAAACCCAATCGCCACGATGAAAAATGAGCCAGAAGCCAAGCGAGCCGTCAGATATCCCCTGACTTGTGCTTGCTGCAATGTAGTGACCCGATCATAATTAACCTCCCGTTGTAAATGAAAAGGAGTATACACTTATGAACAGCGACAGAGGCCGATGCCAATTAAAGCGGAAGCTGGCGCGGGCTTCCTCGGCGTGCGGCAAAGAGCAGAGGCTGATGAAAGGAGATGAAAGGCGCGGGATGCCTGCGGTGCCGATGCAATATTCAGGAGGTCGCAGAGCCAGGCGGCGCCCGGCCGTCGGGGCGTCCTTCGGGGCTGCGTCCCCGGGGGCGGTGGCGGGGAGCACCCAGCTGCCCCCTGCACAAAGGGTCCAGGCGGGCGGATGGGGAGCGGGCGGGCTGCCACGCCTCCGCCTTTGTCTCTCTTTCAAAGCCAATATCCCAGCCCCAGATGGGTTAATACATAATGCAGACAAGCAAGTAATTGGTTGCCTTTGTATGGCCGTCAGCGATCGGTCCCCGGCCCTCTGATCCCCCATTAGTGGTCATGCAAACAACCCTTCCACCCAATTAAGCACAGCTTTGATAGCGCCCTTCCCAATGATGCGCCAGCCCCAAAGCAGCGCTTCGCACATGAGCCACTACCTGTTACCCGGCTTCGGGGACGCGTGGCCCCGCTGCTCGCCGTGCCCCAGCTGCTGAGCCCTGCCTGCAGCCCCCGGCCTGAAGGGAGGCCGGGCTGATGAATGAGCTGGGCTAACTCTGTATTAAAGAGCTGGAAATGGGATGTTAATATACCCCAACTGCTCATCTCGAGAACACATGGGCTCCCGCTTCCCAAAGGCAGCGGTAATGAGGCGGGCTGGGACGCCCACCGCCTCCTGCACCTGCCAGGCACACAGAGGGCAGCCTGACGCCGTTCCTCTAAGGCATGCTGGCATCTTCCCACTGAGCATCTCAGCGCCATCCCACAAAGCATCCCAGCATGCCCACTGCAAGCATCCTGCTACCATTCCTTAAAGCGCCTGACCATCCTCCTCTAAAACATCCCAGTGTTTTCTCCTGAAGCATCCCAGTATCATCCCGCAGTGCATCCAGCATAATTCCCACCTCAGTGCCTTCCCCTAAAGAATCCCAGTGCATCCCCCTCAAACGTCCCAGTGTGCTCAGCAAAGGTAGTCCAATTGCTTATAGAGCTTCCTGGCATCACACTCTGAAACATCACCCCATCACTCCTAAAGCATCCCAGCATCACCACCAAAAGCAGACCGGTTTGCTCTGCAAAAACATTCTGACATCATACCCTAAAGCATCCTGGCACCATCTCCTGAAACACCTCAGTGTCACCATCTAAAACACCCCAGTGCACTCCCCACATCAACTCTGCAGTACGTCAGTGTTATCCCCTGAAGTATCCCCAATGCACCCCATGTGATCCCTTAAACACCCCACTACGCTTCCCTAAAGCATCACATCATCTCCACAACTTTCCAGTCTTATCCCCTAAGCATCCCAGCACACTCCCCTAAAGCATCCCACGTTAATCCTTGTGTATATTCTCTCACAAAGCATCCCACGTCATTCCCTTACGCTCCCTTAAAACATCCCATACCACCCCGCTATGCTTTTCTAGCATCCTAGGTCATCCCCTGCACCATCCTGTTTTCCCCTAAAGCAAAGCATCCCATGTTGTCCCCTAAGCCATCTCCTTGCGCTTCCCTAAGGCATCCCATGCCATCCCATAAAGCTTTGAGGCACTACACCCTGAACGTCCCGTTAGCATCCTCCACAGCAGGCCAGTACTCTCCCCTAAAGCATTTCACATCAGCCCTAATGTACGTCAGTGTCACTCCCTGAACACCCCACGTCACCCCTTAAAGCCTCGCCCAAGTTCCCTAAAGCACCCCATATCTTCTCCCCCACCTTCCAGCCGTTTTTCCCTGAGCACACCATTATCATCCCCACTCCCTAAAGCTTCCTGCCTGTTTCCTACAGCACCCCACCGTTATCCTCTAGGACGCCTCACTTTGCTCCTCTCACGAGGTGCTCTGGGGTCCCGTGCAGCCCCCAGCCCCACTGCAGGCTTCACCCCGCTGCCCCCCTCCCTCCAACCCCCCCACCCCCTCTGCCCTATGCTGTGTGACACGGCTCTGTATAAATATTCAACACAGCGCATTTCCAGGCGGCAGCGGGGGGGGGGCTCCCGGGGGGTATGCGGTATGCTAATAGCAGGGCTGGATGGGATTTACATCCCCGCACAGGCACGGGGCCGCTCATTTGCCCATACAAATGCCTTGTCATTACCGGCTGGGCCACCGTGCAGCTCCGTGCCTCAGTTTCTCCGTCCCGACGCCATCCGCAGCACGCAGAAGGTCCTGATGTGCAGGGAAAGGGCAACTCCGGCAAACAGGGATACGGAGATGAAGTCTCCATAACTGCATTATGGGGGAGCGCCCAGGCACACAAGCCCTGAGCAAACAGCCGCTAATCGCCGAATTAAAGGGCAATTAGGTGCCCTGGCGGCAGAATCAATCTGCTAGCAGCCCCCCACTTGCTGTTTGCCCAGCTGATTGTGGGGACAAATAGGGGGATTAGGGACCAGGGGTTCCTTTCTCTGCTTTCCCCGATCCCACGAGGAGGGTTCAGGAGTGGGGTCTGCGTGTGCCCCCCCTTGGAGCCCATCACTCCACCTCAGGCCAGGATGACCCCCAGGTTAACAGGGAGGGTTTTCTGCTCTGCTCCCAGGCCCAGGCCGTGCCCCTGCTCCCTGCTCAGCTTCTAAAGGCTCACAGATTCCCCAGTGCTGCGGCATTCAATATTCTGGCATCACTTTCAATTACCATTCCAGAGAAGCGTTTAGATAATAGTAGGATAAACCTGTTATTCTGCAGGTCACTTACTTCTGCTTTTTCCTAACAGGACTCCCCCAGCTGCTGAGCCCCATCAGGAGAAATGGGAAAGATTTGTGCTATTCTTAAATCAATATTTATTTGCTTTCTCTTCTTTGCCCACGAACAAGAGGGAGTGTGAATAATGCATGGCCCTGAGGACACCCAGGCAGGAGTTGTGCATCACTGGGCTCTAAGGATTTTTCTGGCTGCGGAGTTGTGCCCCAGAGAATCCCAGATATGCACAGATGTGCACCCATCTGCAATGCCAGCATGGTGCCAGATGTGTGCACCCACCCAGGTGTGCTGCACTCTTCCAGATGTGCATCCAGGCCAGTTCCAAATGTGTGTGTACTTGCTGACAGAAGACCTCCAGATGTGTGGCCAGATGTGAACTCAAATTCCACTCACATTCATAGTAGAAAGCACACAAAGCATTGCTGTGCCTCCAGATACGCTCAGATGCAAAGCATCCATCTGTCCAGATGTGCCCATGCTGTGGCACACCCATACCTACAGATGTTTGATCAGCTGCCACACCGGGACCTTCCCAGCTGCTATCCTGCACAGCAGCTGAGCCCTCCAGCTATTTGAGTGCGCAGCTGGATGTGAACATCCCAGAGACCCAGTTTACCCACACAGGGATGGGCATCAACCCAAGGATGCCTCCAGATAAGAACCCGTGCTGGTGCACATCTGTACCTCCCCTTTGCAGACGTTCATCCAGATGTGAGCATCAGAAAGTGGCCTCTTCTGGGAGAGGGGAGCATGGGCACCTCCAGATGTGCACACACGCTTCCCTGTTTTCTCCCCATTACCCGTTCCTACCTCTTCTCTCCTCTGAGCCTCCCCATCGCTGCCAGCCGCAGCTTCGTGCTTTCGCAGCCTGGTCATTAGTGGCACCGTAAGGAGCCCCTTTCCACTCCCGGGGGGTGCTCTGAGGGGCCGCAGTCGGGCTCCAATTAGCACCAGCAGGAGCCAGCTTCGAAAAGACATTGCTTCACACGTTAGCCTGGCACATTTATAAAGCGGCTAATTGCCAATTATGAATTCGGGAGATACGCGGCGACTGCAGAGCCGTGGGGTGCCGGCTGCCCCGGGGGCGCTGCTGGAACCGGGACCCAACACAGATTTTGGGATGAGCTGGGGATCCCCAGCTGCCTCTTCCTACCCTTCCTCCTCCTGAAGCCAAAGCGGAGCCCGACTGGTGAAGCTCACTCGGGACATTTCGACATGTCGACATTTCAGCAGCCGCCCCCCCTCTTAGATTCCTCCCCATTTGGGACTCCCCCACCCCATCCCTTTGCCCCTCATCTCCTCAGCCCCCACCCCCAGGCTACCCCCAAATAGGAGAGTCCCACGCCATCCCTTTGCCCCCACTCTAACGGTGACCTCCCCCTCCCCCCCCGGACACCCCCTCTCTCCGCTCCCCCCGCTCCGCACCGCTCTGGCCGCGCCCCCCTCCCCGCCGGGTCTGGGGGCGGTGCTGCGGGCTGGGCCGTGCCGAGCTGGGCTGGGCTGGGCTGGGTCCGGCCGCACTGTGCCGAGCCGTGCCGGGCCGTGCCGTGCTGGGTCCGGCAGAGCCGGGCCGAGACGCGCCGGGCCGAGCAGAGTCAAGCCGTGCTGGGTCCGGCTGAGTCGCGTCGTACCGGGTCCGGCCGTGCCGTGCCGAGCCCGGTCGGACCGAGCCGGGCCAGCATGCTGCGGTACCTTCTGAAGACGCTGCTGCAGATGAACCTGTTCGCGGACTCGCTGGCGGCCGAGATGTCCAACTCCTCCGAGCTGCTGCTCGGCATCAACGGCAGCGAAGCCGCGCTCGACCTCCGCAACCTCACCGCCGGCAACGGTACGCGTCCGGCCCCGGCCCCGGCCCGGCCCCCGCTCCCCCCGCTGTCCCCCTGTCGCGCTGTCCCCCTGTTCCCCTGTCCCGCTGTCCCGTTGTCCCTCTGTCCCGCTGTCCCGATCCCGCCCAGATGCGGGGCACAGCGCGCAGCCCCGAACCCCAGCTGGGGCTGACCAGGGACCTTCCCCTTGTTCCCACACCCACCGTGTTTCCCCATGCCGGGATCTGTCCCGTGTGGCCAAACCAGCTCCATTTTTTTCAAGCTTGTCCCCTGTCCCCAAACTGGGAGGGGCTCCTCATCCCCAAACACACTGTATGTTGCCGAACTGGCTCCGTGCTCCCAGCCGAGAGCGACCCATGTCCCCATATCGTTCCCGTGCCCCAAACAGGAACAGCTCTCGCGTCCCCAGACCGGCTCCGTATCTCTAAACCGACCCCGTGTCCCCTAATTTGTGCCGTGTCCCCAGACCGACCTCATGTCCCTCCGTCCCCACAGTTCGCTCCCGTGTCCTACAGCCGGGACAGACCCGGGGCACAGCGGGTTCTGGAGCTGCGGGGTCGTTCTCCTGTATTTAGAGCACTGTTTGAGTTTTTCCTTTTTCTTTGAGCCCGAACTTTTGGCTCCGTTTGGGTCCAAGGCGGCCGATCCGTGTTGGGAGCCCCGCGGGTCGCCCCGTCCCACCGCAGCCGGCTGGGCTCAGGGGGGCACGGCGCGGTCCCCCCCCGTGCCAATTAGCCCCGCGCCCAGCTGCGGCCCCCACCCCGCTGCTCCCCCCCGACCCCCCGGAACCCTGCAGCATCCGATCCCCACGGCAACGCATCCTGTTCCTATGGCAACGTCTCCCCCCGCCCCGCAGGGGTGCCCCTCCGCCCCCCCCCCCCGAGTCCCTCTGCTGGTGCCACCGATCGCCACGACCGCCCCCAGCCCCGCTCAGGCTGGCACCTGCGTGTGCCGGGCACTGCGAGACAGCAGTGACACCGCGCGGCCGAAATCCGAACTGCAGCTCCGGCGCTGCCCCACGGCCAGGCGGCGCCGGGGCCGCGGCGGGACGCAGGGTGGTGGCACTGGGGCCGCGTGTCCGATTTGTGGCTCCAGCGTCGCTCTGGGGGCTCCGTGTGCTCAAAGCTGTGCTCTGAGCTCCGGCACGGCATAAATCCAATGTAGTCACAATGAGCGTTAATTAATTCTTCTGCCCTAACGGTAGGGATTTCCCTGGATCCATTGAGAAGATCTATATACTCATTGGAGAGGGATGGTTTTTCCTTTTTTTCCTTTTTTTTCTTTTTTCCCCTTTTTTTCCTTTTTTATCTTGTTATTCCTTTTTTTCCTTTTTTCCCCTTTTTTCCTTTTTTTCCTTTTCCTTTCCCTTTCCCCTTTCCGTTTCCTTTCCCTTCCCTTTTCCTTTCTCTTTTTTCTTTTTCCCAATCCCATGTCTCTGAGGTTCCACTCATTTCCTGCCCTGCACCCTCCTGGCCTTGCTCCCACTCCACCAGTACCCGGCAAGAGGACCAGGAAGGGGACACACCAGGGTGACACGGGGAGACACCAACACCTCTCCCCGCATCCTGAGCCCCAGCCTCTTTCCATCTCACGCCTTTCCGCCCGCACACCCCTGGGCTATGCCGCACCCTTCCCCAGGCTCCCACCCGCAGCTGGAGGACTCCGCACCCCGCATCGTGGAGCACCCCTCGGACCTGCTGGTGTCCAGGGGTGAGCCGGCCACGCTGAGCTGCAGGGCAGAGGGCCGCCCGTCTCCCACCGTGGAGTGGTACAAAGACGGAGAGCGCGTGGAGACGGACCATGAGGACCCCCGCTCCCACCGCATGCTGCTGCCCAGCGGCTCCCTCTTCTTCCTCCGCATTGTGCACGGCCGCCGCAGCAAGCCTGACGAGGGCATCTATGTCTGCGTGGCCAGGAACTACCTGGGTGAAGCCACCAGCAGGAATGCCTCGCTGGAGGTGGCTGGTGAGCCCCAGTTGCACGATCCCCATCTCCACCCCCATCTGTGTCCCTGTCCCCATCCCCATCCCTATCCCCATGGTCTCTGTGGCCCCACACATCTCCAGACCTACACCCTTCTGGCCTCGCCCCTTCTCAGACAGCATCTTAGGGGAAGGGTTGTCACTCCACTGTGTGCTGGAAAATGTCACCTTGGGGCTCGATTTGAACACTTGGAGCAGGGACTTTTTGCCCCCAGAAGGGGCTCCTGCAGCAAAAGGAGTGTAGGGATGGGGAAACCGAGGCAATGACATTGCAGCCTCTGTCCCTGCAGTGCTGCGGGATGACTTCCGGCAGTCCCCTGGGGACGTGGTGGTGGCAGCAGGTGAGCCGGCTGTGCTGGAGTGCATCCCGCCCCGCGGGCACCCCGAGCCCACCGTCACCTGGAAGAAGGACGGCACCCGGCTCAGCGACAAGGATGAGCGCATCACGGTGAGGGCCAGGAGTCCCCAGCAACCAGGTCGGTGTTTGGGCCTCGGCTGAGTGCAGCTCCCTGGCAGATCCGCGGTGGGAAGCTGATGATGGCCACCACGCGCAAAAGCGACGCTGGCATCTACGTCTGTGTGGCCACCAACATGGTGGGGGAGCGGGACAGCGAGCCGGCCGAGCTGGTGGTCTTCGGTGCGTAGGGATGGAGAGGCAGCAGGGGGGGTTGGTGCCGGCAGGGGGGACTCACAGCTGCTGCCCCTCAGAGCGCCCCGCGTTCGGCAGGCGGCCACAGAACCAGGCGGTGCTGGAGGACCAGGCGGCCGAGTTCCCTTGTGAAGCACTGGGGGACCCCCCGCCCACCGCCCTCTGGCGCAGAGAGGATGGTGAGCTGCCGGCAGGAAGGTGAGCGGGGTGAGGAGTTGGGGGGGGCAGCATGTTGCAATCTGGGGCGCCTGCTATGGGATGGGAGTCCATGTAACCCATCCATGTCCCCATTGCACCCAAACCTTCACATCCAACATTCATGTGGCATCCTACACCCCCATGGTGTCTCACATCCACATCCTGCATTCCTATCGCATTCCACATCACCTTTTGCATCCTGCACCTTCATTACATCCGAAATCCTGATCCAAATCTCTATCATATTCTGTACCTCTCTGATGTCCCACATCCCCCTCATGTTTCACATACTCTTCCCATCCCACATCTATAACACACCTCACATCCTTGTTGCATCCTTCACACTCACTGAGACATCATGCGTCTCCATCCCCATCTCTATCCCTACTGCCACCACGCCTTCCATCCTAGCTGCATCCTGCATTCCCATCATATCCCCACCGTATCCCACATCCCCGTGGCACTCTCGTGGCACCTGGTGCCCTGTCGGCACCGTGGGCTCTGGGGTCTCTCCCCAGGTGGGAGCTGCTGGCTGACAACACACTGAGGATCAGTCGGGTGCGGGCAGAGGATGAGGGAACCTACACCTGCATGGCCGAGAACAGCGTGGGCAGGTCGGAGGCTTCGGGCACCCTCATTGTGCGCGGTAAGAGGGGACCTCAAGTGTGTGTGCAAGGGTTAAGGTCATGTCAGGGTCAGGGTTAGGGCATGAAACAGCAGTGGGCACAGCTCTGAGCTGCTGGAGCTCAGGGAGTATTGAGACACTGCTCTCAGACATAGGGCTTGGTTTTTGGGTGATGCTACATTTGGACTCAAAGAGCCTCGGGGGTCTCTTCAGCTGGGGATATTCTGTGATTCTGTGATTCACTCTCTCCCTTTATGTCAGTGCCCCCGCAGCTCATCACCCGGCCCCGCAACCAGACTGTGCCCCCTGGCCAGACTGTGACCTTCCAGTGTGAGACCACAGGAAATCCTCCGCCGGCCGTGTTTTGGCAGAAGGAAGGCAGCCAGGTCCGTCCCCTCCCCACCCCCACCCCCACAGCACCCCACCGTGCACCAAAGCCTTCTGCTTCCCCCTCTGCCCAGACACTGCTGTTTCCTGGGCAGTCCCCGCCGCCTGCCAGCCGCATTTCGGTAGCATCCAGCGGCGCCATGACCATCGCCGCCGTGCAGCCCACCGATGCCGGCTATTACCTGTGCCAAGCCATCAGCGTGGCTGGCAGCATCCTGGCCAAGGCACTGCTGGAGGTGGAGGCAGGTAGGTGTGGTGATGGGTGGCGATGCTCCGGGCACTGAAACAAAGGGGCTCACTCAACTTTATCTCCATGGCAGCGCTTGCTGAGCCCCGACCGCCAGTGATCCGCTGGGGCCCCGCCAACCTGACGGTGCTGCCGGTGGGGGCCACAGTGCAGCTGCCCTGCTGGGCAGAGGGTGAGCCCCCACCCCATGTGGGGTGGCTGAAGGATGGGCGCACCGTGCTGGGCTCTGAGAGCCACGCCAGCCTGCTGGAGAATGGCACCCTGCAGATCAGCAACATGCGGGTGAGCTGCACCAGCACAGGGGAACAGGGAGACACTGTGGAGCTGGGGGGGCACTGGGATGCACTGAGCAAGAGGTGGTGGGTCAAAAGGGTGGTGGGTGCTCAGAGCAATGGGCACCCAAGGTGATGGGTGCCCCGGGTGCTGAGTATCCAAGATGATCTGCACCAAAGGTGACAGGCACTCAGGGCGATAGGTGCTCAGGGAGATGGGATAGGAGCTCTTCTCCTTGCAGGTGACAGACTCAGGCCAGTATGAGTGCGTGGCCACCAGTTCGATGGGTGAGATGCGCTGGAGCGGGTCCCTGCAGGTGCAAGGTGGGTCATGGGGATGCCGTGGGACCAGAGATGCTGTGGAACTGGAGACGCAGCTTCCATGGATCTCAGTGCCTCTGCCTGCAGGTGATGGATCTCTCCTCTCCACACCACCCCCAGAGCCTGGCATCCTTCCAGGGCCACCCTCCACCCCGCTGGTCACCAATGTCACCAAAAGCAGTGTCACCCTGACCTGGAAAGGGAATGAGCAAAGCGGTGGCACTACAGTCACTTACATTGTGGAAGCTTTCAGGTACCCCGACCTCCTCTCCAGGTTCAGAGTGACATGGTGACGTAGTGCCACCTTGCCATGGGTCACCTCTATGCCCTTGCAGTGAGGCTGTGGGTGGCCCGTGGCAAACAGCGGCAGCCAATGTGGAGGGTGAGACACACACAGTGCAAGGCCTCACCCCTGACACCACGTACCTCTTCCTGGTGCGGGCACTCAATGCCCATGGGCTCAGTGACCCCAGTGGCATCTCAGAGCCCATCCGCACCCAAGGTGAGACCCAGCAGAGGTGCAAACAGACACGGCATCCTGGGTGCGCCCGCATGCCCACACACCCAGCTCTGCCCCTTTTCAGCGGACACCAGCCCCACGCCACAGGTGTCCCCAGAGCTGCGTGTGGCCGTGCACCTGCAGGAGCCCGTGGTGCTGCCGCCGGGTGCCGTGCGCCTCGCCTGGACCGTGAGCGTGGGGACACGGCGGGTGGGAGGGGACACGGTGCTGCACCTCCATCACCCCCCTCATCTCCCGTGTCCTCAGGTGGAGCCCCCGTCGCCCTCTGTGCAGGGATACCAGGTGCTGTACCGGCGGCGCGGTGGGCGCTGGGAGGCGTGGGATGTGCGGGCACCGAGCGAACGGGGGGCTCTGCTCACGGGGCTGCGCCACGGCCAGGACTACGAGGTGAAGGTGCGGCCCTTCTACCTGCACCTCCACGGCCCCGACAGTGCCGTGCGCGCCCTGCGTATGCCCGAGGCAGGTGAGTGTGGGGCTGGGGGTGCAGGGTGTCCCCGCCATGGGATGCACTGTGGCCGTGATGTTCCATGCCCCACAGCCCCCAGTGCTCCACCAAGGGCTGTCAGCGTGGCTGGAAATGGCACCAGCGTCCGCATCTCCTGGCAGCCTCCACCGCCAGCTGAGCAGAATGGGGTCATCCTCGATTACCGAGTAAGTGGGGCCTGTAGGTCCCGCATCCTCCCACATCCCATATTCCCATCACATGTCACATCCCCATGAAATTCTCATCACATCCCACATATGTGTCATATCCATCCTTCCTACAACATCTCGCATCTCCATCCCATACCTTATCTTCAACATATTCCATATCCTTATCACATCCTGCATCCCACAACTTTACTGCATCCTATGACTCCACTTTATCCCAATCTCCATCTCGTTCCACATCCCCATTACCCCCCATGTATTGATCTCATCCTACAGCCCTATTACACCCTGTATCCCCGTTGCATTCTGCACTCCCATCTTATCCCATATCTCCATTGCATCTCGCATTTCCAGCACACCGCACGTCCCCAGCCCCCGTCCTAACACTGCGCCTCTGCCCCAGATCTGGTGCTTGGGCAACGAGAGCCGCTTCCACATCAATCAGAGCGTGGAGGGGTCAGTGCTGGCCACAGTGCTGCGGGGGCTGGTGCCCGGCGTCCCCTATCGCGCTGAGGTGGCTGCGGCCACAGGGGCAGGTGTGGGTGCTCGCAGTGCGCCCATCTCCATCCGCATCGGTGAGTGCCCCATGGTGCTGCAGCACCCACAAGCGGGGATCTCTGTGGGACTGGTAGCCAGGGATGGCTGCTTGGCACCGCTGGCATCGATGTGCTTGCAGCACCCCCAGTGGAGCAGGACGTGGGGCCGGTGGGATGGGGCAGCATGGCAGAGCGCATGGCCGCGGTGGCGAGGCGGCCAGCCTTCATCGCTGGCGTCAGTGGTGCCCTCTGGCTCATCCTCGCTGGGTTTGCAGCATGGCTCTACAGCCGCCGCCGCCGCAGGAAAGAGCTGAGCCACTTCACAGGTGTGGATCGCAGCCTGGGACCCCCATCTGCTGCTCACCCCACACTCACAGGGTTTCTTGTTGCAGCCTCCTTTGCCTTTGCACCCACGGGTGCATCCATGGGTGCTGTAGGGCCGCGTCACGGGCCCACCGCATCCTCACTGCCACCCCCAGCTCTGTCCACACTCACCTTCCCACACACCCCAGCACCAGCACACAGCAGCCCCAGGTAAGACCACATTCCCCCAGACCCACAGCCCAGCCAGGGGCCCCCATCACCATCTGTATCCCTGCAGGAATGCTCACCCATGGCTGGCGGATGCATGGCGTGGTGGTGGCCTGGATGCCACCGAGAGATACTACAACGGTGAGGGGCTGCAAGGAGCTGGCGGTGTGCTGGGGGTGGGACCAACCCTAATGGGGTGGCCGTGCTCTGCAGAGGCCGGCATCTCCCGCTACATCGCCCAAACGGAGCCCTTTGGGCCCGGGAATGCTGAGGGGCCCATCTACAGCAGCATCGAGGCAGGGGGCGACGAGCTGCGCACCTTCCACCGGCCCTGCTCACAGCATGGCCCTGAGACCCTGTATGGCCACTCAGCTCCTGGGCAGCACGGTAGGATCACAGCAGTGGGGGGACACTGGCACACGTCCCTGTGCCTGCAGCCCCACGTCCCTCATCCCAAAGGGAAAAATTTGGGGAAAGCGGTGCAGACGCCGGTGCTGAGCTGGACCGAGCTGCTGCCCCCACCACCCTCGGCCAGTGAGCTCAGCCAGTACACTGAGGAGGAGGAGGAGAAGGAGGAGCAAGAGGAGATGGATGAAGAAGAGGATGGCATGTGAGTGTGCATGGCTGGGGGAGCTGCAGTGTGCTGGCTCCAGTGCCCACCCTGTGCTCCCCACAGATTGGGGCTGGAGGAGCACTGTCCTTCCACTGAGGATGGCCCCCAGCGCGCTGCCTCCTCACCTGCCACCCCCACGGGCTGCTGGGCCCCAGCTGCAACAGCCCCTATGCCCCACGAGGACACTCGCAGCCTGCAGCGTTTCAACAGCCCCCGTTCACCCCGGTAGGAGATGTCACATCACCCCTCACCCCATCGCCCCACCGGCACAATGGGATCATCACCATCCGTGCATGATGCTATCATGAGCCTGGGGTAGAACAGCCTGCCTGGGACATGGCAGTCCAGCCGTGCCGCCATGCCACTGCCCTGCTGTGCTGCAGTCCTGCTGTGCTAAGCAATTCAACCATGCAGCTGTGATCCATCTGTGCCATTGTGACCCAGCGGTGCTGCTGCACTTTAGTCGTGTCACTGAAATTCAGCAGCACTGTTGTTGGTCAGATGTGCTGTTGAAATCCAGTTGTTCAATTGCATTCCAGGTTTGCTGTTGGCATTCGTCTGTGCAGTTGCACTCCGGCTGTGCCTCTGTGATCCAGCTGTGCTGCTGCAGCCAGGCTGTGCCATTCACTGCAGCCACACAGCTGTCATCCAGATATTCCATCCTACCCCACTGTGCCACCGCTCTGCTCTGCCCTGACACAGCACAGCACTGGGGCGTCCCCCGTGTCCCCTTCTCTCCCCACTTCTTTCAGACAGCTCAACATCACTCCGTGTCCCCTCTTCCCCAGGAGGCCCCCGCGTGGCACTGCACCCTCACCCAGCCCCCCGCTGAGCCCCCGCAGCCCAGACACATGCAAGGGTCCCACGCCCCGAGCCCACCGCCCCCACGGCGCAGGTGAGCCCCACAGTGCCAGCGCAGGGCTTGGGGGGCCCTCACTATGTGGAGGGTGCCTGACGTGCCATCATCTCCCTCAGGGAAAACACGCTCAGAGACCCCGAAGGGCCATCCAAAGCCCAAAGGCGGCCGCTACCCTCGGGAGCAGTGGACGGGAGGTGGGTGCGTGCCCAGAGGGGGCCGGGGGCTGCCCGCACAGCTCAGCCCTCGCTCTGTCCCCGCAGCAGACCTGCCGCCGCCCCCACTGCCGCCTCCGGGCGAGACCCCCTCTCCCAGCCGGGAGACGAGAGGAGCTGAGCGCAGAGCTGCCCACCGCCCGCCCCGCCAAGGTAAGCTGGGATTCGGCCGCAGCGCCAAACCGCCGGCAGCGCCGCCAACCCAGCGCCGTCCCTCCCCGGCAGGTGACGTCGTCCCCTACAGCAAACCCTCCTTCCTGGCTCGCGGCTGCTCCACCGCCGGCAGCGCCTCGTCCTGCGGCTCCTCCGGCTCCCGCGGGCACGGCTCAGGGCGCAGCCCCCGCCCGGACCCCCTGGCTCCCCGCCCGCCGCAGGAGGAGCGATAAAGCGGCGCGGGGACGGTGACACGGGGACGGGTATGCGTGGGGTGCTCGTTCATTTCTGTCTGTAAATGGGTGTGCACAGAGCCAGAGGGTGGGGGTCAGCTTGAGGGGGTTGAGGATGCACTGGGTGGGGACAAGGACGGGATAGATGAGGGGTGAAGACACTGGGAGGGACAAGGATGTTTGGGACAGTCGCTGGGGATGGAAAGATGAGGACCCTGGGGACAAGGCCAGATGGAGGGGAACATGAGCGGAGGGCCTCCCACCCACCTCAGTGCTCCCCAGCTGCGCACGTAGCGTTTGCCAGCAGAGAGCCCCTTCTGGGGGAAATGATGAATAAAGCTGGATTGTAGCCAAGCTGGGAGGGCTCTGGCATCAACACTGCTTTAACACAGGGGCTGCCACACTCCTGTCCCTTCTGTCCCTGGAAAGGAGCCCACCCCACTGGCTGCCCACTTGCGGCATCCCCATGAGGCTGCCCATCCCTATCCCCTTCCCTGTCCCTGTCCCCAGGGCCATCTCCCCGCACAGAGGGGATGATGCCAGGCCGTGCAGGGGGGCAGCAGCCCCCTCACCACCCCCATCGACGTCCTCGAGGCTGAAGCAGAGGCTGTCGACGGCCACAGCCAGCACACGGGCAAAGCTGGCATCGAGCAGGAAGGAGCCATCAGAGGAGCTGGCCAGGCTGCAGCGGGTGCTGGGGACAGTGTCCTCTGTGACAGACCCCCATCCGTTCAGCAGAGACCCCCCCGGAGAGCCCTCATGACCCCACACCTCGGGCTTCTCTTCCTCCTCCTCTTCCTCCTCCTCTCCCTCACCCATCTCAGAGGCAGGAGGCCCGCAGATGTACCCATAGGTGTGGGGAGGGGACAGGGGGCGGGGCACAGGGACGCGCTGGGGATGTGCTGGGGACACCTCTGGCCTGGGAGTGTTTGTGGGGCGGTGGGCCTCCTGCACCCTCTCCAGGTCCTCGGCAACCCGCTGTGGGGTGAGAACCCCATCACTGAGCGCTGGTGAGAGGCGGCCAGGCTTCGGGGACACGTCTTTGGTGGCCATCAGCGTGTCCCTGAGCACAGACATGTCCCTGGGGTTCTGGGGGACCATGGACATGTCGTCAGGGTACCTGGCTGCTGGGAACATATCTCTGGGACACCTGGTGGCTGAGAACATGTCCCTGGGGTGCTGAGTGAATGGGGACATGTTCTCCTGGACTGTGGTGGCCAGGGAGTGACTGGAGGCTGGGGACAAGTCTCTGGGGCTCCTGGTGGCCGGAGACTTGTCCTTGGAGTGCCCAATGACTGGGGATCTGTCCCTGGAGCACCCAGTCACCGGGGACACATCTCTGCTAGGTCTTGTGGCCAATAACATTTCCTTGCGGCTCACAGTGGCAGGAGACATATCTACAGGGCTCCTGGTGACAGAGGACATGACCCTCTGGTTCCTGGTGTTCTTGCTGTTCCTAGTGACTGGGGACACAGTCCTGGGGCTCCTGGTTTCTGGGGACATGCCCCCAGGGTTCCCAGTAACTGTGGACGTGTCTTTGGGGTTCCCAGTGACTGGAGAAGTGTCCCTTGAGCACCCCATGGCTGGGAACCTGCAGGCACATAGAACAAGTTGGCCTTTGCCACTGCAGCACCTGACTGGGGCAGGGAAGGGGGCAGCCTATAGCACCCGGGGCGTCCCCTAGAGACACACAGACTCACCGGGTCCCCATGGGGTGCCAGATGTGCGGATGTCCTGTAGGTGCCACCAGCATCCCAGCACCAATTGATGCCACCGAACTGCGCCGTGGTTTCGGGGAGCTGATGGTGGGCAGCCACCACGGGTCCTCTCCTGCTAGTGCCATGTCACCATCCTGTCCTTTCTGCTGAGGCCATCTGTCCACTGAGTCAAAATGTGTCCCCCACTCCCCAACACACAAGGGCACGGGAATGGCCCTGAGCCCAGCCACCGGCACTGGGGAGCTGTGCGTACGGTCCAGCTCTGCATGGGGACACAGCCATCAGCCACCATCCTGCTGTTCCCAGCATGCCGCCCCATCTCCCCGTCCTGTTCCCACCTCGCTTGCGGATGTGCTCCCACAGTGCCAGGCTGGACGTGCTAGTTTTGGGGTGTTCTCTGCAGAGGTGGCTGCAGCTGGGGGTCGTCGCAGGGCTGAGGCTCGGCAGCTCTGAGGTCAGGGCTGTAGGGGGAAAGCTGTCAGGCTTGGGCACCCTCGGGTGCTGAACCCCTGAGCCCCTCCATCCCAGGCACCATCTGTCCCAAATGGGGGCTCTGTACCCCCTGTGTGTCCCAGGCACTCTGTAAGAGGCATTGAGTGGGGATCCCACAGCATCACCTGAGAGTCTCACTAGATTTGGTAAGAGTCCCACAGCATCATGGGGATGAGGAGGTTGGAGGTAGAGGATGGGGTGGCCATAGAACCTTGAAAGAGAGTCTCAGACACCTGGGTGGGCTTTCCAGGGCAGTACATGGGCATCCAATGGCACTGGATGAGGAGTCCAAGATACTCTGTGAGTGTCCCACAGAACCCTGTGGGGGTTCCAAGTCCCAGTGGGGATCCCGTAGCCCTCTAGGGGCATCCCAAGCATTGGGCGGGACTCCCATAGCACCCTGTGGTGAAGGGTTCCAGGCACTGAGTGGAGGTTCTAAAGCATAGGGGGGTCCCATAGCCCTGGATGGGGGTCGCAACACAGGGCTCACGAGAGGGCTGGGGGTCCCTGCTGTCGCTTCCCAGGAGCCGGCTGCTGAGGCTGCTGCTGCCACTCAGGTTCTGAGGAACACAGACAGGTTTCCAGGGGCTGCTGAGCCATGGCACATCAGCGTCCTTCCGCCTGCAGGGCAAGGGTTGTCATCAGGATCCCACCCCTCCGGTGCCAGAGAACCCCACAGATCCCCACCACAGTCACTCACCCGTGTTGTGCCATGGAGTCCTGGCTGGCGCGACGCTGGCAGATGAGGAGGAGGAGGGCAAGCAGGGCCAGCCACAGCAGTGAGCCAGTGGCTGCGATGACCGCAGGCTGCTGCAGCACCTGCACCACTCCGGTGCTCCCTGCCATCATCTCTGCAAGGGCATAGTCGATGTCACCCTGTGCCACTGCTCTATTCCCTGCTGCATCCCACAGCAGACCCCTTTTCCTACCCAAGACGCCACAGGTGACGTTGCTGGGGATCCCCAGCCCTGCACCATTGAACGCGGCTACTTGGATGCAGTATCTGGCCCCAGAGCCATGCAGGAGGGTCTCCAAGCGACGTGTTCCTCCGTCCACTGTACGGTTGGTGGGTTGTAGCCAGCCCTCGCCCAGGGACCAGACCTAATGGGTGCCGATAGGTGAAATTCCCTTGAGGAATCCCCTTGGGATAGATTCTCTTGGATGACTGCCCTTAGAAACCCCCTTGGATGGATTTTCTTGGATGGGCCCCTCTTTGATGGTCCCATTGGTTTGACCTCTTTGGACAGTTCTCCCACCTTGGATGGATCCCTCTTGGATGGAACCCCACCATGAATGTATTCTTCCTTGGATGAAGCTCCCTTAGATGGAACTCCCATGGATGACACCCTTGCCCCTCAAACCTGGTAGCCTCGAATGATGCCATTGTGGGCATCAGGAGGAGGTGGCTCCCAGCTCACGATAACGGTACCATTCCCTGGTGCAGCCTGGCCCACGGTGACACGCTGGGGTGCTGCGCTTGGCACTGCTGGGACAGCAACACTGAGCCCCTAAGACCTTCACATAGCTGCCCACATCTCCCTTCCCACCAACCCAACCTACCTTCCTCAGGGATCCAGAGGTGCCAGCTGTTGCTGTCCAAGCCCTGGGTCCCACCGGCGTAGGGTCGGACCTTGAACTCATACTGGTAGCCCCGCTGGAGCGCAGGGATGACGGTGCTGAGCTCCCTGCCCACGTCCTGCTGGGACCAGGCAGTGCTGGCAGGGAGCAGGCAGCGATACAGCACCACATAGCCCTCTGGAGCTGGCCCTGGTGTCACCATCTGGATGGGACAAGAAGGGTTATGGGGACGTAAGGAGAGGATCTTATTCCACCACTCGGTAGAGGCACACCTACCTTCCAGCGGAGCCAGACAGTGCCGTTGGTGGGCAGTGCAGTGCCGTTGTCCAGCTGCAGCTGCACAGCCAGCAGGTTCTGCCGTGCGGCCTCCCACCGGCCTGCCGGCAGCTGCCCTGCATGAAAGAGCGAGGATAACGGTGGCTCCTGCACCCCAGAAAGACTGGAGACCAAGATGCCTCCTCGCGTGGTTACACTTAAATGGACCCTGCGGATGAAGAGCTCTTGAACGGCCTCCTCCGCTGCATCCCATGGTGGATTCCCACTGATGCATCTTTCTTAGATGAAACCCTTGGATGGATATCTCTTGGCTGGATCCCACTGTAATGAATCCCCCCTGACAGAACTCCCTAGATGGATCCCCTTGGAGGAAGCAGCTTAGTTGAATCCCATTTGTCCTCTTGGATGGTTCCAAAATGTTCCCCTTTAATCCTCTTGTGTGGAGTCTCCTTAAACTGACCCCTACTCAAGTGATTCCCCTTGAATGCACCTTGTCTGAATGGAACCTTTTGGATAGATCCTGTTGAATGGAATCCTGTAGATGGACCTACTCGTACAGAACCCCCTTTTGGAAGGATTCCCACCCCCTTGGCTGCATTCTGCTTGAATGTATCCCCTGAGATGACTCAGTTAGATAGGCCCTTTGTTGATGGACGCCCTCGGATGGACTCCCCGTGGATAACGCTTTGGATGAACCTCTTTAAAGCAAACTCAATGAAACTGAGTTCCATGAGATGGCCCCCAGCAGCTGCCCCCTCAGATGCCCCCACGTGGTGTCTCTGGTGGTCCCCACTGACCTTCCACACGGAGGCGGGCAGTGGCGGCAGCGCTGCCCAGCTGGCTCTGGGCTGTGCAGACGTAGGCACCACCATCAGCTGCCGTCACCGCGTAGAGTCGCAGCGTGTGCTCCTGATCCACCTCATGCCTGTGGACACCAACATCCCATCACCCCGTGTCACCCACACAGGAGAGATGACCTCACCGCCTCCTACCTCCCCCAGGGCAGATCCCC